AATCACCAACCCGCGTTGTTTTTTTTTTTTTCAGTTTCACAAGGACAGCATTCTTTTTCTTTCGTTCTTTCCTTTTTTTTTGTTTTTTTTTTACTAAAAACCATACAAATGAGGACCAACCCGTTCATATTAGAAGTGACATTTGATCTTTCATCTAAGGCTTAGTCCCAAAATTTTTTCCTGTATTTTAATGGATACAAACCAAATTTTTAAAATCAGCTACCCAAAATAGTTGCCAAGGATGTACTTCACTGCCTGATAGATCTAGGAAGGACTTGGAGGCCAGATGTTTTAGGGAATGCGATTCTTTTTTTACACGAAGGCAATTTATTAAAAGAAAAAATTGTGAGGAGTCCAGTTCACAGATTGCAACCATGGCCACCCTCCTTCCTGCAGGTGCTATTGGAGAGGATGGGGGTGACCTCCTCAATGGGCCCCATCTTCATACCCCAGCGGGCCAGGGCTCTGAGGGCTGACTGGGCCCCAGGTGCAGGGGTCTTGGTCCTATTTCCTCTGGTGGCAGAGAGTTTGACGTGCAGGACAGTGATGCTCAGTTCCTTGCACCTCTGGGCCACATCCTGGGCAGCCAACATGGCAGCACATGGTGAGAATTCATGCCGGTCAACCTTCACCTTCATCCCACCAATCACTCAGCAGATGGTTTCCTTGACAGAAAGATGAGTGACATCAACAAAGGTGTCATTGAATGATGCAAAGATGTGGCACCCACCAAATACATTCTCTCCTTCGGCTACCTGCGGTCCAAGGCTTATGACCTGTTCTTCCTTTTTTTCCTTCCCCTTTCAAGGTACCATTTTGTCTCCAGACTCCGCTAGGAATGCAATCATTAATTGATAGAAATTGCAAGAGCCTTCAGGGGATCTTAGGATGCCTAAATTTATACAAGTTAATGTCTTTACTGTTGTTGAAAGACTGTTACGGATATTTCTGGCTAACAGTTAACTTTGGAAAACCATATGGCTGATTCACACCCTTGGAGTGTCCAGATAGGATTCTTTTTTTGACCCCCAAATTTTAATTTTCTTAAAAGTTTATTGGAGGACAGGCGATGTAATCCTAGCACTCTGGGAGGCCAAGGTGGGAGGATTGCTTGAGCTCAGGAGTTCGAGACCTCCTGGAGGTTGCAGTGAGCTACAATGACACCACTGCACTCTACTCAGGGCGACAGAGTAAGACCTTGTCTCAAAAAAAAAAAAAGAAAAGAAAAATTAATTAGCTGGGCGTGGTGGCATGCACCTATAGTCTCAGCTACTTGGGAGGATCACTTTAGCCCAGGAGTTTGAGGCTGCAGTGAGCTATGATCTGCACTCTAGCCTGGGTGACAAGGCAAGACCTTGTCTCAAAAAAGAAAAGAAGAGAAGAGAAGAGAAGAAGAAAAAGAAAGGGAAAGAAAGAAAGGAAGGAAAGAAAAGAAAGAAAAGGGAAGAAAGGAGGAAAGGAAGAAAGAAAGAAAAGAAAAAAAGAAAGGAAGGAAAGAAGGAAGGAAGAAAAAATTTATTGAGGCTGGGAGCGTTGACTCACAGTTGTAATCCCAGGACTTTGGGAGGCTGAAGCTGGAGGATGGCTTGAGGCTAGGAGTTGGAGACCAGCTAGCTGGGCAACATAATGAAACCCAGTCTCTACAAAACAATTTAAAAACTAGCTGGGCATGGTGGCGCATGCCTGTAGTCCCAGCTACTCAGGAGGCTGAGGCAGAAGGATTGCTTGAGCCCAGGAGTTTGAGGTTGCTGGAAGCTAGCCTAATGCCATGGCACTCTAGCCCAGGCAACAGAGCAAGACTCTGTCTCAAAACAGAAACAAAAACAGTAATCCTAGCACTCTGGGAGGCCGAGGCGGGCGGATCGTTTGAGCTCAGGAGTTCGAAACCAGCCTGAGCAAGAGTGAGACCCCCGTCTCTATTAAAAATAGAAATAAATTAATCGGACAACTAAAAATATATAGAAAAAATTATCCGGGCATGGTGGCGCATGCCTGTAGTCCCAGCTACTCGGGAGGCTGAGGCAGAAGGACTGCTTGAGCCCAGGAGTGTGAGGTTGCTGTGAGCTAGGCTGACGCCATGGCACTCACTCTAGTCCGGGCAACAAAGTGAGACTCTGTCTCAGAAAAAACAAAAACAAAAACAAAAAAACCCAAACCAAACCAAAACAAAAAAACCAGGCCAAGGTGCAGTGGCTCATGCCTATAACCCTAGCCCTTTGGGAGGTTTAGGAGGGAGATAGCTTGAGGCAAGGAGTTCTAGACCAGCCTGGGGAACAGCAAGACTCCATCTCTACAAAAAAAGGAAAAAACAACAACAACAAAAAAACAGCTGTGCCTAGTGGCACGCCTGTAGTCCCAGCTACTCTGGAGGCAGAGGCAGGAGGATTGCTTAAGCCAAGGAGTTTGAGGTTGCTGTGAGCTATGATGCCACCTCTGTACTCTAGCCCAGGCAACACAGTGAAACCTTGTCTCAATTAAAACAACAACAACAACCAGAAAAACACAGAAAAACCAAAACCGTCCATTGAATTCTTAATTTCAATTATTGTGTTTTCAGTTTTAGAATTTCTATTTGGTTCCTTTCAGATGTTATCCTCTTTTTTTGTTTAATAGTTTCTACTTTCCTGAAATTTTAGATCCTGTCTTTTATCTTTTTGGACTATGTGGATACAGTATTTAATTTTTGTCTGTGCTTGATAATCCCACTTTCTGGAGCCCCTGGAAGTCTGTTAAAAAGCCCCATGGCTCTGACACTCTGAGTCTGCTCTTCCTGTAGGCTTTCCTCAACTTGCTCAGGCTCTGATACAACATGCCAGCAGGTCTCCCTTGTGGAAACCCTTCTCACTCTACTGAGACTCTGACACTTCATGCCAGTTGCCCCCCTGCCCCCTCAGTGCTCTCCTCATCACACTAGGGATACCATGTGTGGTTTGCTCCCACGTGGATGCCTTCCTAACTGTTCGTGGACTGTGACACCCCACGTGGGACAGCCCTCCATGTACCATGTACTATGTGTACAATCTTCTCACCATGCTCAGGCTATGACACCCCACTCTGGGCTACCATATCTGCCCCACCTCCCTCTACAGACAGATGCCTCACCTAATGACTTTTGGAACAAATTGTTCAGGATAGGAAGGGAAGAGGAAGAAGAAGCAGAGAGAGAAACATTAGTCAAATTAAAAAAAAATACAATCAGAAGTGCTTGTCTTTTAAGGAAAGCCTTTAGGTTCTAATAAATTTAATGCAATAAATGATACATTTTCAGCTGAAGTTACCATCCAGTTTTGTGTTTTCCATTTGTCACTATAGCTCTTTTCCATTCTTTTATTGCCTTTTATTTTTAACTCTATTACTCTCTTTTTTTTTTCTTTTTTTCCCTCCTCCCCCATCTTTTTGTCACTACTACTATGGATCATATAAAATGTGTCTACTCTTTTAGTACTTCACTAGAAGTTAAACATGCACTGTTAATTTATCAAGTATTAATTAATGTTTGACTTGACTTAGAGGATGCAGTGAGCAATGATTGCACCACTGTCTCTAGAGACCCTGTCTCTAAAATAAATAAATAAAATAAAAATATTAATTAATATTAATCAATATCTTTACCTTCCTCCTTAGATACTACCATTTTTCACTTCACAACTTACATACCATTTTTGTTACATATTTGAATTCTATATTTTTATTTATTTATTATAGTATTTATTTTTTTGAGACAGAGTCTCATTCTGTTGCCCCAGCTAGAATCCAGTAGCATGATCATAGTTCACTGCAACCTCCAACTCCCGGGCTCAAGGGATCCACCTGCCTCAGCCTCCTGAGTAGCTGGGGCTACAGGCACACACCACTGTGTCCAGCTAATTTTTCTATTCTTTTTTAGTAGAGACGGGGTCTTGCACTTGCTCAGGCTGGTCTAAACTCCTGCCCTCAAAGAATCCTCCCACTTCGGCCTCTCAGAGCGCTGGCATTACAGGCATGAGCCATCGTGGTGCCCAGCGCCTCAATTCTATATTTTTAAAATCCCACAAGACATTCTTCTTTCACACCATTAATTTAGAATTACCCACTATTTATCACTTTCTTTGCTATTCATTTCTACTTGCAAATCGGACTTTTCACTGGGATCATTTTTCCTCTGTCTCATATATATCCTTTAGAATTTCTGCTGTTTTAGTATATTGAGTCAGAAGGAAAATTTCTACATTGTTTTTTTGTTTGTTTGTTTGTTTTGAGACAGAATCTCACTCTGTTGCCCTGGCTAGGGTGCGGTGGTGTCATCATAGCTCACTGCAAAACCTCAAACTCCTGGGCTCAAGCAATCCTCCTGCCTCAACCTCCTAGGTAGCTGGGAGTACAGGCACACGCCTTGACACCATGCTAATTTTTCCATTTTTTTGTAGAGACAGGGTCTTGTTCTTGTTCAGGCTGGTCTCCAACTCCTGATCCCAACTGATTCTCCTGCCTTGGCCTCCCAGAGTGCTAGGATTACCAGTGTGAGCCACCATACCCCAGCCTATTTTCTGTATTTTGATGCTTTGACATAATTGGGGCCTTGCTGACCCTGAAAGGGCTAGCCAATTCCTAGAGATAGCTATAGACTTGCTAGTGAGGATGCCTTTCATATGTAAATCAACCAATCCAGAACCCATACCCTCAACCATTTCCTTTATCAGGCTCTCACAGTCTGGGCCACTATGCTCCTGCCCTAACCACCTAGGGACAGGTACCAGACAACTAGGGAAAGCCTCTATGCGCCAGAGGTTGCTTAAATTATTCACACCAGCCCATCCTAAGTCTCCTTTTACCCTGCCTGCTCTTCCTGCAGAAACCATAGTAAAGGCTCTTGAGCATGTTTCCTGTCACTATCCTTAGACTCCTGACTGACCCTGGTGCTTCCCTGTGTGGCCTTGTGTGGTTTGCAGGCTTCCCTTTTCTAGTAATCTGTGAGTATAACAGACTTCTCTCTCATGACAGTCATTTCTGTGTCTGTGTGTCTTACCATACCTGATTGAAACAAATCCCAGGTATCCTTAAAACAATGACATCAATTGATTTTCAGATGTTAAACCAACTCTGAGGCTCTGGGATAAATCTAATTTGGTTATGGTGTATAATTCTTTTTATATGTTCCAAGATTTGGTTGTTAGCATTTTGTTTAGGATTTTTGTATCCATACTTGTGGGTGATATTAATCTGTACCTTTTTTGTGTGTGTGTGATTTCTTGTGTGTCTGGTTTTAGTATTAGGGTAATACTGGCCTCATAAATGAATTCCCTCCTATTTTTGAAGAGTTTGTAAAGAATTGGCATTAATTATTCTTTTTTTTTTATTTCAGCATATTATGGGGATACAGATGTTTAGGTTACGTATGTTGCCCTTGCCCCCCCTCCCCTCCCAAGTCCGAGTTTCAGGTGTGTCCATCTCTTGGACGGTGGGCATTGCACTCTTTGTGTATGCATATACCCGTCCCCTCCTCCCCTCTCTCCCCTTTCCCCTGCCCAACATCCAATAGATGTTATTCTTATATGTGTACTTATGTGTTGATCAGTTAATACCAATTTGATGGTGATGGCATTAATTATTCTTTAAATGGTTGGTAGAATTCAGTGGTAAAGTTATTTGGCTTAGGCCTTTCCTTGTGGGTAGATTTAAAAAATTTTTTTTTTAGGCCGGACGTGGTGGCTCACGCCTGTAATCCTAGCACTCTGGGAGGCCTAGGCGGGCGGATTGTTTGAGCTCAGGAGTTTGAAACCAGCCTGAGCAAGAGCGAGACCCCGTCTCTATTAAAAATAGAAAGAAATTAATTGGACAACTAAAAATATCTAGAAAAAACTAGCCGGGCATGGTGGCACATACCTGTAGTCCCAGCTACTCGGGAGGCTGAGGCAGAAGGATTGCTTGAGCCCAGGAGTTTGAGGTTGCTGTGAGCTAGGCTGACGCCACGGCACTCACTGTAGCCAAGGCAAAGGAGTGAGACTCTGTCTCAAAAAAAAAAATTTTTTTTTAATTTGTTTTATTATTATTTTTTTTTTAGAGAAAGGGTCTCGTTCTGTTGCCTAGGGCGACAGAGCAAGACTGTCTCAAAAAACCCCCATAAAAAACAAAACAAACAATGTGAAGAAACATTAGACAAACCTGAATTGAGTAACATTTTACAAAATAATTGGCTTGTAATATTTCAAGTATCATTCAGAGAACAAGCCTGTGGGGGAAAAAGTATCAATGTTGTAAAAGCTAAAGAAAGACTAAGGAACTGTTCTAGATTGAAAGAGACTTGAAATTTGATTCAATGTAATCCATGATTCTGAAGTGGAAACTTTTGCCATAAAGGATCCTTATGGGGCAACAGGAAAAACTTGAATGGGGTTTGAGGATAATATCAATATTAATTTCCTAGATTATATTGTGATCATGTAAGAGTATACAATATACTTTTTCCCCCCACACCACATCAACAGGAACAATATATACTTGTCTGTAGGAAATATACACTAAAAAAAAAAATTTTTTTTTGAGACAGGGTCTTGCTCTATTGCCTCGGCTAGAGTGCAGTGGTGTGATCATAGCTCACTGCAGCCTTGAACTCCTGGGATCAAGTGATCCTCCTGCCTCAGCCTCCAGAGTAGCTGGGAGTATAGGCAGAAGTCACTGTACCTGACAACCAGGTACAGCTGCTTTCGTAGCTTTATTCATGTTATTGACTTGGGAATGGGTGGGGGGAGTAGTACTCCTGGGTCTGATTCCTGTGTTCAAAAACCTGACTCTACTACTTGCTAGCAAGTTATTTAACCTCTCTGTGCCTCATTTTCCTTATCTGCAGTAATGTAGGTATACTTAGCACAGTGCACGGCACATAATAAATGCTCTATAAACACCCGCTATTACCATTATTTCTAGAGCATAAGTTCCTAGAGGGCATGATTCATAACTTACTCATATTTTATTGTCATCATCTGTGCCCTAGACTGTTTATCATGTCATCTTTCTCCAGTCTTTTCTCTGTAATCTATTGTTCACACTGCTGTAATCGTTATCTTCCTAATATGTAAGACTGATCTTGTCATTCCCTCTGTTAAAGCTGGTTTCCCAGGGCTTACAGATAATGTCGAAATTCACTGCCAATTTCTGCTTCTACCACATGGGCTTAAGGAGTTTCAGCAAACATGCTTTCAGAGTTCAATGCCTTTGTTTAGTTGTTTTCATACCTCTGTCTGGAGCTTCCTTTCCTCCCTGTCTCAGTCTATTTTTCAGAGACTGGGTCATTTACAAAGAAAAGAAATTTATTTCTCACAATTCTAGAGGCTGGAAGTCCAATATCAAGGTGCTAGCATCTTGTGAGGACCTTCATGCTGTGACATCTCATAGCAGAAGGTGGAAGGGAAGAGATGGGGAGGGGGAGAGAGATGGGGGAGGAAGAAGAAAGGGGAAGGGGACTGAACTCATCCTTTTATCAGGAACCCACTCCTGAGATAACTAAACCACTCCTGTAATAAGGGCATTCACGATCTCATCATCTCTTAAAGGTCCCCTCTGTCAACACTATTGTGTTGAGGGATAAGTTTCCAACACATGAACTTTGGGGGACACATTCAAACTACAGCACTCCATAATCACATTCTATTCATTTTTAAAAGGTCTCAAAAACTCACCAGACTTTCTCACAAGCAATTAGTCACTTGCTGCTCTCAGATCATTTAAGCATTATGTTCGTAACTTCATATGGCCAACATACTTTGTCAATAATTTAAAACCTTTCTGCCTTTTTGTAGGCCATTGATTTACTCATCATTATTTATTGAACATCTACTAGATAACAAGCCCTGTTTCCGGTGCTGAGGATATATTAATACTTGTAAAGATTAGGTTCTCACGTAATTTATGTGGAAGATTAAGTACGAAAATAAACAAGAAAAATACCAGGTCATGGTGAGTGCTAAGCAGAAAATGTCGAGTGGGTGCGATTAGATGGTCAGCACCGTATCCTCAGGAATCGGCTTTTAAGTAATGAATCTGAATGTGCTTCGTAAGTGAAAATCAAAAGAGAAGACCTGTTGCCGTTTCAAGGAAGAGCGGTGCACGGGCCCTGCGGCAGGAATGAGCTCCAGTGGCTGGAGCCATGAGGGGACCGAACATCTGTGAAGCCCAAGCAGCTCCGAGGTACTGGCGTCGCAGATGGATGTTTACAAAGGCCGACGCGGCCACTTCGGGTAGAGGGTCTGAGGGAAAACAGGGGCGGGCACAGAGTCCCACCCTGCGTGTGGGTCCCTCGGCCAGCACTACACACCCTAAACGGGCGTTCCCCTCAGCACTTCTCACACCAGGCCTTTTCCCTTCGGTGGTGGCAGGCGATCACACAGAACCGGCTAGCAGCTGTTCACCGATAACGACCGGACGTAGGAAACCAGCGAAGAGCCAGAAGTGCAGATGCAGGCACTAAGTAGCGGGTAGGGCTCGCAGCCTGCAGCGACGGGCGGAAGAGGCGGGTAAAGGTGCTCGGCCGTGGCACACCGTAGCGAGTGCTGCGCATGCGTGTACGCGGGCGCGAGACGGTTACGGCGCCGGTCCCGAGATGGGGCGGGGCCGGGCATCCGCGCCGGAAGGGGGTTGGCTGGGCGGGGCCGGGAGGCGGCGGTGGCGGCTGCACGCGCGAGCGCACGGGTGCGAACGGGAAACGCCGCGAGGGCCGGGGCAGGCCAGGCGGTGGGGACGACGGACGGCGACTATGGCCGCGGCAGCGGGCGGCGGCGGGCCGGGAGCGGCAGCGGGCGCCGCGGGCTCGGGGGCTCCGGCAGCGGCCGCGGGCCTGGCCGTTTATCGGCGGAAGGACGGTGGCCCGGCCAGCAAGTTTTGGGAGAGCCCTGAGACGGTGTCTCAGCTGGATTCGGTGCGGGTCTGGCTGGGCAAGCACTATAAGAAGGTGGGTTCACGCGCCCGCGGGATCAGGGAGCCCACGCGACGGGGGCCGGAGGCGGCTGCTGGCCTCCGCGGGCCTCGGGCCACCCCTCCCCCTCCGCGCGCCACGAGGGACAACAAAGGCAGGCACCTAGCCCGCCACGCCCCCGCCGTCTCCCCTCGGCGCCCGCGCGCCCAGGCCTGGCTGGGGTCCCGGGCCTCGCTCCTCGGAGCCCACGCACCCCTGGCGAAAACCTCTGCTTACTCTAGTGTGCCGGAGCAGGTTGAGCTCAGCAACCCGGGGGGTATGAATCTTTCTCTTTTGTTTAGCTGCATTAGTTTTGTGAACAGTGATCACCAAAGCCTGAGCCAGCGTGGTGAAGGCAGCTTCAGTTTTTGTTTAGAGGCCAGTCTTGAAGTCTTGAGGTAACTAAGGTTTTGCTGCCTGTTGTTGATTTCCTAAAGGACTGTGGACAATTGTATTCGTTAGTTAATAACAGCAGGTTAATATCATGAATTATAGTATTGATGAGAATTACTATTAAACAGTTTTTACTTTATTGTACTTTTGGTTATGTATGGTTTGAGAACAACAGTTAATGTTCACTTATACGTAATGTAGTTTTCAGTGAGGCCTTCCCTTGAGAACCCAATTTGTATTAGATCACCCCTACTTCATATCACCTTTATTTTTTTCGTAGTATTTACCACATTTTGAAATTAAATTTTCATCTATTTGTTCCCCCTACTTTTGGAATTTAAGTTCTGCTGAGTCATTGGTTTTCAAAGTTTCGATGTAACTGCTTGTTTATAATAAATCTATTTTAACTTCCCCTTTATGTAAATATTCAGGACTGACTTCCTTAGAAGATGTGAGGAAACAGCGAAAAACACTTCCCCTGCCTCCCAGATTTTTGGAGCACCCTCTTCAGTTCTGTACTTTCCCCCATTGAGGACCATAGCACTAGGGCAAAGGCTTTGTCAGGCCTGTTCACTACAATGTGTCCTAGAATATGGTTGGTACTTAGTGCCTCGCCCTTAGTAGTTGCTTACTATTTGTTGAATGAATGAAAAGATAGACTAGTTTAGAAAGGTATTCATTTTGAGGTCTACAGCTCCGTGAAGCCTGTCAGTGTTTGGTAGTTGTTAGGCATGGGCAGGGATCTTGGATTCCTTTGACTTTACCCTGTGGTACTTTTAGGAATGACCACTTCTTATCTGAAGTTTGAGGAAGTGAGAGACAGTAATGATATTTTTAGATGCCTTGACCTCCCCTCTCCCAGTCACACTTGGGACTGTGGATTTCTCTCATTTACATGTAAGTAAATAAGAATATTGCCCTCCCTTATATAGTGATAAATTGGTTACTTTTTTGTGTAAGCAGTAGAGCTTCTGGAAGTGGCTAAGGGGGTGTTGTGAAAATATTTGTTACTTTTTTATCATTGTTCCCTTCAGCCATTAGTTTGGGTCTTAAATTCAGGGAAGCTTTAACAAAGAAAACATATTCAGGAGGCAAGTTCTTTTGAATATCAAGGAATAGAGTGGAAAAGGGCAAATTATAGTAATTCCTACTTCTCCAGACTCTTGTGTGCATCAGTTTGGACCCGACTTTAAGAGGGCATTTTAGGCATGGATGATCCTTCAGAGGTTTGTTTGAGGAGGTGAGGAAGTGGCTCTAAGGCAGACTGAAGGATTTGCCCCCAGCGTATTGAGACCAGGAGGCTTCCTGAGGCTTTCAAGACAAAGTCTAAGTTAGTTTTGACTTCTCAGGGCTTTGTAAAACAAGAATATATTTCTTGGGCCTACTCACATTCAAAATTGTATATCCCTTAGGCCTGACACAGCCAGAATCCTTTCAGCCTCTGTGTGTGGTATTGAAATGGTGAAAATACTAATCAGAAGGTTCTTCGATTGTTTTCTACACAATGTATTTCTACTTGGTATATACATTAATGGGTTTTTTTGTTTTTTGTTTTTTGGAGATAGAGTCTTGCTCTGTTGCCCGGGCTAGAGTGCCGTGGCGTCAGCCTAGCTTACAGCAACCTCAAACTCCTGGCTC